CTGACAAACACAGGCTAGGGACTTCATTCCTTACCCATCCTGGCTAATAGCCATTAATGGACTTAACCTCCATGAATGTATCCAGTTCTCTTTTAAACCCTGTTATAGTCCTAGCCTTCATAATCTCCTCAGGCAAGCAGTTCCACAGGTTGACTGTGCGCTGAGTGAAGAAGAACTTCCTTTTATTTGTTTTAAACCTGCTACCCATTAATTTCATTTGGTGGTCCCTCGTTCTTATGGGAACAAGTAAATAACTTTTCCTTATTCACTTTCTCCACACCACTCATGATTTTATATACCTCTATCATATCCCCCCTTGGTCTTATCTTTTCCACTAGAACTACTCTTATTTAGTGATGATTCCCCAATGACAACTACTTTTTGAGACTGTCAGTTAATCAGGTCTTAATCCATTTAATATGTGATCTTACACTAGTATAGTGCTAACTTTTTAATCAGAATGTTATGTGGGACTAAGACAAATGTTTTACTACAGACTAAATATGTTACATTAGTGCAGTTACCTTTATCAACCAAACTTGTAATCTCATGCAAGAATTAAATCAATTTTGTTAAACTTAGTTCCGTAAAAGCACGTTGACTAGCATTAATTATATTCCTATCATTTAATTTTTTTATTAATTGAATCATGTACCATTTTTTCCCATTACTTTGCTCAGGACTGATCTCAGGCTAAATGACGTGTAGTTATTCAGGTCATCTGGCATGCAATTTTTGAATATTGGTACAACATTAGCACTTTTCTAGTCTTCTAGAATTTCCTTGATATTTCAAGTTTTATTAAAAATTAACATCAGAAGATGAGAGCTCTTTCAGCCAACTCTTTTACTGACTCTTGGCTGAAATTTATCCAAAGCCTGCTGATTTTAAAAATATTTTTCCCTAGCAGATATTGTCCAACATTCTCCTCCATTACTAATGGACTGGAGTATATGTCATCATTCTCATGTGATACAAGTACATCATCCTGCTTCTTTCCAAATACAGAACAGAAATATTATTTATCATTCCCCTGAATCATTAACGATTTGCCATCTCCATCTAGCAATGGGGATACTATTGCTAGGATTTCTTTTGTTCCTAATATACATTATAAAGCATCCTTTTAATTGTCCTTTTCTCTGCCAGCCATGGATTTTGCCCTGATGTTTTTAGGTTCCCTTATCAATTTTCTTCACTTTTATAACTTCTAGTTTGTATTGATTGCTATCTATTTCCCTTTTCCCTCCACTATGGGGATATATTTTTTTTAATTTCTAATGCCTTTATATCACCATTGATCCATGATCAATTTTTAGCCAAAGTTGCTCTTTTTGATTGTAGAATTGTAGTGTAGTATACTCTGGAAAGAGTATAGAAAGAGAGAGCCTGAGACATGAGGTGTAGTATGAGAGGCCTGGTGTAAGGCCTAAGGCCTGAACAAAAGTTAAGCCCTGCTGAGATAAAGCAAAGTTAGCAAGAGTCAAGATATGAGCAAAAGACAGGCCCTGTTACAAAGTAGATGCTTGCTTGCAGGTTCACTATCCAGTACATGAACTTGGGAAGAACATAGCTGGCATTACAAAAAGAGAAGCACTCCAAGGCACTAAGTATTCACGTAAACACATCCCAGAAGGGTAGTGCCAGAACACAATGATACCAAGATATAGTGTAAACACATTCCCCAAAGATGATACAAGGACAAACTGATCCATCTGAAAGATAAGGTCAGGATGACAGGGTGATGGACAGAGATGTTTTGAGTGAACCAAGATGTATGAATTAAATGGTGGTAACTAACCATGTCAGAGGGTCAATATGTAACTTGTTTGCATCAATGTATAAAAGAGGGGTCACAGAGGTGGTGTCTTTCCATTGCCTAGGAGGGAATGGAAAGCCCCATCGTTCACTGAGCCGAGTCCATTGTAACAAGCATGCATGTACTAGTGTAACTGTAGACATTGAATTGGGGAGCTAGGATCATGCTTCATTGACTATAAACCTGGCTGAGCACCTTCACTGTTGAACCAAGTCTGTGGTCTCTTTGGGCAGTTGGATTGACATCTGTTGGGCCAGCTATCTGCACAGAGCTGGCTCAACACAACACACATATGCAGCCACCAATTGACAAGATGGGGTAGATGGACTTTGAAAAGTCAAATAGGTGCCCAGACTTCACATAGCCAATCAACATCAACAAAAATCCAATCTGCATGTTGGTCAGAAACCGAAGGTTTAAATACTGACTATTTCTACTGTAGATAACATTTGTTTTTGATGTATATCTGCTATTACTGAGTCTCCTTTTACAGGTTTCAAAGTAGCAGCCGTGTTAGTCTGTATTCGCAAAAAGAAAAGGAGTACCTGTGGCACCTTAGAGACTAACAAATTTATTTGAGCATAAGCTTTCGTGAGCTACAGCTCACTTCATCGGATGCATCTGATGAAGTGAGCTGTAGCTCATGAAAGCTTATGCTCAAATAAATTTGTTAGTCTCTAAGGTGCCACAAGTACTCCTTTTACAGTTTTCTTGTATGATGTTTTCATGCTTTTATCAGCATGGATCACTAGTTACTCCATAGTTTAGTTTTATATCATGCAGTAACTTTGATTATATCAGTCTCTAGAAATTATTTATGCAGCAGTTATTGACTCAAACCAGTTTGCTTAACTGTGAATGATATTTTAAAAAATATGATTGTTCAGAACTAATCAGTTGCAATCAGATTGGAGGATTGCATTAAAAAAGGACCTGCTGAAAGTGTTTTCTTTTCTTAGGCACATTTTTATATTGATGAATTTTGTCACCATTAAACTCACTACAACCGTAGACTCAAGGGACGTATTCTTGGGATTAAATCAGTGTAATCATTATTTTAATCATGAGTGATCCAATAAATTAATATCAGCTCAGATTAATTTGCAGAAATGCTTGTGGTACTGCTGTTTGTGAGATGCAATTGAGTGCATAATGGCTGGCTGCAGCTTTTGCATACAGTCACTTCCCATGAATATGTAGTTAATTTCCTCTGTAAACCTTTTTAATATACACTGTATTAAAAGCATTCAAAGATCAGTAGAATAAAATGAACCACAAAATAAAAGTTCCCATAGCTCCAGGGCCTTGAGTTACACTTGCTGTTCCAAGGAACAGGCTACATAATAAAATGAAAAAGCCATTGATCCATTATTATGTGCACATCACAAGATGGTTCTGCAGTCAACACTGTACTTTAAAACACAAATATTCATAAGTTTTTCAGTGGCTCAAAGACTCTGTTCTTTAGATGCTAATGGGGGGAGAAAGAAGCTATGATTTTCTGATGACAAAAATCATAATGATAAAGAAGTGGATAAATTGACACACAGTACAAATATAGGCATAACATTTCCAAAAGACGATACCGAAATAATTTATCAGAAAAGAAAGAGGAAACTACCAATGAAGCCACAAATTAAATGGTTTAATAGTTTTGTATACTGTCCTTCACAACAGAGGTGTGACAGATTCTGAGGGAACTAATTGGGGTACAACGGCTCACAGAGTCCTAAAGTTATCCCTTTCAGTAAATTTGAGATTGACACTGTACTCCGCTCTGAATAGAAATGGGGGGGTGGGGGGAGCCAAAAAAGGCTTGTAGCATGAACTACAGCAACTATGATGCAATATTTTCACAAATATTTTGAGGGGGAAATGGAACTATCAAAATTGCAGTAAAGGATGTTCTTTTCCAGACAAATTTTCAGAAGTTCATATGCCTGAAATAGGACACCTTTATTAGAGCTTAATAAAGCACCTAACTGCATGATTTGTAAGTCCAAATACCATGTGCACATCTACATCTCAGTTTTTGCCCACTGCTAAATCTGATGTTCAAGTTTATGATCCTTTTGAAAATCTGAGTCAGTCTGCCCCAGCTGACAATTATAGAGCCTTAGATTTTAAGGCCATCAGGCTCTATTACGATAATGAAGTCTGAGCTCATGTACAGCATGGGCCAAAGATTTTCACCCGGTAATTCCTGCATCATTCCCACATCTTATAGTTGAGCTAGAGCTTTTTTTTTTTTTTTTTTTTAAAGGCATTCAACTCCCAATTTACAAACATCAAGTGATAGAGAATCTACTACATCCATTGGCAAATTGTTACAATGATTAATTATCTCACTGTTTAAAAACATGCCCCTTATGTCTAACCCAAACTTGTCTAATTTCAGCATCCAGTCACTGGATCTTGTTGTGCCTTTTATCTTTTTAATCATAAATGGTCTTTCTAGGTTGGTACTTATAGATCATTAGTAAGTCAATTCTCAATTTCTAGGTGGTGATTAGGATGCTGATGTTGACCTTGAAAGGTTCTAAAGAGTCTGGGTCCTGGCTACTTGAGGGACCTTCTCTCTTTTTAAAGAAAAATGAACCTCCATTGATAATATTATGGAATAAAATTTGCCAGTGAATTACCTGGTTTCATCTGCATAGATATCACCATCAAACATTCAATCAATGGTACAAAAAAGGGGTGTGTCTGTTCAAAGTAACATGAAAGATCCCAATCTAAGTTTCTCTAATGCAAGTTTCCATTATAAAGAACCCAGTTAAAAAGATTAATCACAGAGCACTTTCCAAATCATGGCATTCCAGGTTTATAGATATTTGTGTAGTTGACATTATTTACTATTGCAATTTTGTGGAACAAATCAATGAGGGTTGATTAGAAATATGGTTAATTTTGAGAAGCCTCAACACACAAAAAATGTGATCACAATGCAGTTTGGCAGACATTTAGAAAAAAATAGATATCTAACAATGGATATAATAAGAGCATACTGTTTTCCCACATCCAAATTAAAATAATTCTGTTATTGTTAATGTTTAATTTAAAAATACAATTTTACCTTTGAATTGATCTGCTTTAATACTGATGAATAAAATGACTATGTTGTTAGGTACTTAATTATTACTAGAAATTATGACTAATAAAGTTTTGTTTTTGTTTTTAGTTTGGTAGCCACAAAGGAAACAGACAGTGCAAGATCTCGTAGCATGCCAATGTCACCATCTGATTTCCTGGATAAATTAATGGGTAGGATGTCAGGCTATGATGCAAGAATCAGACCAAATTTCAAAGGTAATTTTGAAAACTAATTCACTTTAATCTAACATTGTCTTTGGTGTAAAAGTGTGTTTTGGAGAAAAATTAAAAGCAAAACAAATGTACTCAGCCATGCTCAGCTAACCTTGACTTTGATCATTCAAATTTCAGCAAAAACATGGTCTATTGTTTTGAAGTTTGGGTAGGTGCCAAAATGTTACAGAAGTTGAGTATTCTTTTTAATATTTTAGTGTGTTATGTATATAGTAAAAAGAAAAGGAGTACTTGTGGCACCTTAGAGACTAACCAATTTATTTGAGCATAAGCTTTCGTGAGCTACAGCTCACTTCATCGGATGCATACTGTGGAAACTGCAGAAGACATTATATACACAGAGACCATGAAACAATACCTCCTCCCACCCCACTCTCCAGCTGGTAATAGCTTATCTAAAGTGATCACTCTCCTTACAATGTGTATGATAATCAAGTTGGGCCATTTCCAGCACAAATCCAGGTTTTCTCACCCTCCAAGTCCCTCCCCCCCCCCCCCCCACACACACACACAAACTCACTCTCCTGCTGGTAATAGCCCATCCAAAGTGACCACTCTCTTTACAATGTGTATGATAATCAAGGTGGGCCATTTCCAGCACAAATCCAAGTTTTCTCCCCCCCCCACCCCTTTTCCAAAAACCACACACACAAACTCACTGTCCTGCTGGTAATAGCTTATCCAAAGTCACCAGTAGTCTTGTCACCCTTTTAATAGGCTGCCAACAAGCTCTGTGACCCTCTATTGCTTAGGTAGAATGTTGAAACTTGGGGGGGGGGGGGGAGTTCTTAACCTTTCAGAATTTAAGAATTCTAGATAAATTTATGAAACAATTTAAAAATATTTCTAATCAAGTTAACCATTTGTACCTTCAATAAAATAAAATAATACTTTTCAAATGCAGATTGTGTGTGGAGGGAAAAATCTCCTGCAAATAAAGCCCCATACTAGTGTTCCTTAGCATTAATTTTTCCTCATTAGTGCCCTTTTTCCTGTTTTCAGGAGGTGTTCTGTCCTCTCTTTTCAAGATAACCTGATTTACAGAAAATATCTCCATTTCTGCCAGAGGCTGTTTCCAATCAGCAGCCAGGACTCCCTCCATGTTTACCTTCTTAGGTCATCTATCTCACCACCCATTTCAGTCTCACCTCTTGTTCATCATTGCATTTTAAAATGTTTTTAATTTCACCAGTGCTCAGAAACTTGACTAGCTAAATCCCTGAAGTTATTGGTACTGGATGCTATTTATTTACTTTCCTTTGCCATGATTTGCCCAGTGAATCTGGTTGGCAAGAGAAGAATGAGTTGTCTGTCAAACTGCTTCCCAGTCAAACAATCTTAAAAAAACAGAACAGTAAATAAAGCTAATCTCAAATGATTTACTTCTATCTGGAAACGTGGATCTTGCAATAGGTGAGTAGAGGTGACATTTCTCAGAATACATTCCTGACACCTTAGTTTAAACAACAAATGTGTATAGAAAATATTCATCAAACAAACCACCCAGAAAGATATGTATTATTTTTATCAATATACGTTTGCTATGGCTATGAAACAATTTCCTTAGAGATTGTTTGCTTGCTTGCTTGCCAGTTGCATCCCTCAGAGAATAGACACTATTCACTTCTTGCTTAGGAGGAAAAAAACCCTGGGTGTAAAACAGAACTTGCACAATAACAACAGATAAGTTCCACTTAAAAGATTACTTCCCTGTGTGTGTGTGGAATCTTTCTATTTATTTTTCTCCTTATTAAAGGTGTTCTCAACTATATACCATAGCTATTCCCTTTAGCATGTAAATTTCAAGTTTTAGATTGCATTGCCTGGTCTTTTTTGCCCAGGGTCCTCTTTTGTGCTGCACAGCTTTACTTTAAATCTAAGGTGCTGCACAAAAGAGGATCTCAGGCAAATAAGACCAAGCAATGCAATCTCTTTCCTCTTTTTCTTTGAATCTTCTAAAGCTCCATGGGTGAGTATATAAAAGCAAAGATCTTATAGCTTAGCAATTCCTTTGGGGATTGGATTTTGGAATTTGTCATGGGCACCATGCAATCACAATCTTCTGAGGAGGCTATTTTGCAGAAGGGGCAGATGTTTAGAAAATAGTGGATTCAGTATTGTGCTTCTTGAATATATAATTCAAAGGACTGGGAGAGTTTTTTGGTAAAGAGACAAAAACCTAATTCAACATTGGTTTGCTGTTTCTTAAAAGTGTACTTTGTAAATTTTCTAAACAGCTAAGCAATTTGAATAAATTTGCCAAGAAAGATTCAGATTGTTCGCTAAGAATAAATATCTCCTTAAACTACTTTGCCACTTTCTTGCTATTATTACTCTAAGAACAAGTGGAACTTCCTGCCATTTGGACTTTGTAATTTATCAACAATTAAAATATGAAACAAGTACTAGTATGAAATCCCAGACTATCAACCCTGGTATAATTAAGAAATTGAATCTTTTTTCATTAAAATTCCTAGACACTGCAGATAATATATTATTTGACTACCAACTGCATGTCATACTTAGTCTTCATAATTACACTTTGTTTCTGACTGCTTTGTGTTTGTGAAGTAATACATAATCATGAGAACATAATCATGTTTTTGTTCAATAGAAGAGAGGGATTAAGCAGTATTTTCAAAGAGGTCCAATATTAGTTCTAACTCTAAAATATGGAAATTCTGAAACATCTTTGGGTATGGATGAAAATACAAGAGAAGAATCCCTGGTAAAAGTTTGTTCTAGTTATAGAATATTTAAGACTATGCCAAAATTGACCATAGGAAGTGCCTCGCTCAATGAAAGGAGGAGAGGAACTCTTGCCTTTGGAGTCCATTATGTTTTTTCCACTCCTACAGTTGTGATGAAAAGCTCTAGGTGTGAATGCATCACTGTCTTCCAAATCTGGGTCTAATCCTAAAGTCCTTATCTATTCAAAACTGTCAATGTCTGAATACAGAGTTTTCAACAAGTTAGGAGTTCAGGATCAGGCTCTTTTGTCATGAACATGCCTTTTGTACATAGCTACAGCTCATCCCTTCACATTCCTATTTCAGGAATAATGCAATGGATCATTGTAACCGTGCCTCCAGGGGTCACAACTGAGAATACCAAATTCAGGACAAACTGCTGAGAAATAGGGCAGACACACCCCAAAACTGGTGGTTATTCTCCCATAAGATATACCAAACCAGCAACAAAAGTAAATTTTTTCACCACACTGGCAAACTAGCATTCAGAAAAGCAGTTTCCCCTGGCATTCCTGTTCTTGTATCTCCACAAAAAATACTAGACTTAAAGATGAGTGGATCTTTTAAAACCAATTTCATCAAATAAAAGATTCTTCTGATCCCAAAGGACAAGCCACACACCCGGGTCAATATACAACTCAGATCTTACCTAATAATGGTGCTGTTGCCAGTCTTTTAGTATCTAAATCTAAACATTTATATATGGAAAATAGAAAGAAAAGTTTCAGAGTAGTTAAAATTGGTTAAAGGAATCAAGTACATACAATAAATGCAAAGTTCTTGGATCAGGCTTGTAGCAGTGATGGAATAAACCGATGGCTTGTTAAGTCTCTGATTGCTTCCAAATCACTGGAAGGTCCTCAGTCCCTTGGTTAGAATTCTCCCATTAGTACAAGTTCATCATAGTCCAGAGGTTTAAGCAGGAAAGAGGCAAAATGGAGATGTTTCCAAGGCCTTTTATAGCTTCTGCCATGTGGAGGGAAATCCGTTGTTTTAAACAAAGTGCTCAACAAAGCTAGTGGAAAAATACAGGTAGAAAAATGGTGTTTGGAGTCACATGGGCAAGTTACATGTCCATGCATGATTTCGCTTAGTCACAGCAAAGGCCATGATTTCGCTTAGTCACAGCAAAGGCCATTGCCTATTCTCTAGTTGTTCACATGAAGGTCCATCAGGCATGGATGGGAGTCTTTCATGGTCCATTGTGAGTCCCTTGATGGGCCACTTAACTTGAATAGTCCCTTCAAGGTGTGCAGGCTAAATACCTTGTGGGAGTTTCCACAGGAGCAAACATATTTAAAATACAGGTATAGAGCCAATCCTCATTAATTCAAATATAAAAATGATACACGCATAGAAATAGCATAATCATGCTTAGCAAATCATAACTTTTCTAGTGACACCTTACTTGACACACTTTGCATAAGATTTGTTGCAATTATATAACAGTGGTAGCAACAATTCTCTACGTAGTTATATTTTAATCAGATAACGTTACAGTCATTACTTGATTTATAATTTCCAACATCTCTGCTGATTGAGGAAAACTTACAGTAGCATGATGCCTTACTTAATATAAAATTTAATATTGAATGGTTTACTTTTAAACGATAACTATTTTTAAAAACATCAGTCAAAAGTTATTTATTAGGTATTTCATCATAACATTGAGAAAGTATTGCTAAGATAGCCACTGAAGTGCAATAGAGGGCAACAATATTAAACTTTGGAAACACAGCACATGTTTAAGTATTAAACGTAACTCTGACTTACAATATTAAAATCAGTGTTTCCCTGTTTCTCAAAGCTGATATACTGTTCTGGAATACTTGGGTTAGTTGTTCTTATCACTTGGTGGTCAAGTGGGAACACTACACAAAAAGAACATAAAGTTTTGACATAAAGAACACTTGGCCCCATTTTGTCATTCCTGAATTCTCCTGTTCTCCCTGCACCTCACTCTGAGTTAGTCACAGAAGCAAGCACTTCTTCTTCAAGGTTAAACAAGATAAAACTGACTCATCCTGGTATCTTGGAGAATATAGAAAACAAATTTGTGCAGGAGCTTGGGAAGAGATAGAAGAGCCTTGTTCAATCTGACTATTTCCATCTTTCTTGTCATATGTTGCTTCTCTTGTATGTAGAGCTTTGTAGGAACAAGCTTGCCTCCCCCTCAAGTAGCCTCCATCTTCTACATACTTAAGCCTGCTATCACTTCTTAGAATGCAGCAA